ATTCGTAGTCAAGTCAAGTCAGTCAAGCAGTATAGTCAAGCAGTAATAAGTAGCCAGTAAGAAGAAAATACAATAAATCGTCTATAGAAGAAATCCGTCTTTGTTTTGCACCATCATCAACAGTTATACAGCATCGTCTACAGTTTGGTCCATAGAGCCGGATCAGCACCCTCAATATCTCCCTTCCGACTAACGAGTAACGCAAAGTACAACAACTATATAATAAACAACAAACAAACTCGGATAAAAATAGCGACACGGCCAGGTGAACGACCGTTGCTTGACACACAACGAGCTCAAGGCCTGTTGGAGATTAGATACCGCATCGCATAACAAACACATATATAACTAGCAATTGCAAAATGAAACGACTGAACGACTACCGGTAAAGATTAAAAATAAGATACCAAGAAGGTAGTAAAGCTATAGTCAACCCCTTAAGTAAACAGAACTCCTTACAAGACCCGTGTCTGTCTAAACGCGAATTCAAAAAATACAGAATAGATTTTAGGACAGTATTCAATAAAATAATTCATGTGAAAGGTTTTTTTCTAAATTGAGTAACCTTTTTTTCTGTTTTGTCGACAATGAAGTTGTAAGTGTTATGTTAATAATAATAATATTAATCCCAGAAAACATTTTCGTACTCAATTTCACAATTGTGTAGCATCTGTGCTTGAATTAAATTTATGTAATAAATCTGAATCTCAAGCCTCAGTGCTTCGCTCTATTTATACTGTGACGGGTTCGATGCTTGGGCGAATTAATGAAAGGCTGACTAGCATGAAAATTGATTTATTTTATGGTAATAATGGGTAAAGAAAACAAACTGTAACAAACAAAAAATGAATATAAAAATAGGTCGTATGTTTACCTAAATGTGAAATAAAAATTGCTAAATGAAACAAATACCGAATTAATGAAAGGCTGACTAGCATGAAAATTGATTTATTTTATGGTAATAATGGGTAAAGAAAACAAACTGTAACAAACAAAAAATGAATATAAAAATAGGTCGTATGTTTACCTAAATGTGAAATAAAAATTGCTAAATGAAACAAATACTTACCCCTTTTTGGGTTTCTTTTAGAAAAAAATAATAGATTTTATTATGATAAGTATAATGTATAACTGTTTGTTTCTTAATAAATAATTTGTTTTTAATTACAAAAAAGGTTTTATCAAAATCGCATAATCAAAAAGATATCATGAAAAAACATTGATTATATGGAAGCTATCATTATAATCCTATACCGATTGAGTTTTCAGGTTGACCAAAAAAGTCACTCTAAACGACTTTTAGCATCATAAGAAGTTTTTTTTTTATATTTGCCCTCAATATTGCCTTTTTTATAATATTAGACAACATCACACACAATGCTCAGATTTCAAGATGAGTAGCTAAATCTGCCGTATCATGGAGTATCTGAGAGAATATAGATAAGTTCATTTTCTACATTGACCCGAGCGGGAATCGAAGCCAGGGCCAGACCGGCGTGCGAATCACTTTTCATGTCGAGCATTATAAATGCAGCAAGCAAGTCAACCATGGCCAACTCCAGTTAAAAATTAAATTAACTGAATTAAATTTATAATGTTTGACTTGTAATAAAGTACTCTTATATTACTTTCCAGATAAAAAAGACAAGAAATGTACTTAACTCATTATTGGTTTCAGTTTAAATTTTAATTAAATATGTTACAAGCCTACCTTTTAAAATTAATCATTATAAGCCACATTTTTGACGCAATAATATATAAGAAGTAACACAAAATGTCTGTCGTCCGTTTGAGTGGATAAGTGATTGACTAACTGATGTTTAACGTCCAGATAATTTAATATTCCGTGGTCAACCATCAATCAGACGATCAATCAGGAACGAGCACGGAATTATTAATAAAATTAACTTCGAAACAAAACGTTTAAAGTTATACTAACGCTTAAGTTAAGGTATTAATAAAATTGTGAATCGGATTTAATAAAAGTCCAACTATTCTTTTTTTATATAACGCAACTGTATAAGCCTGTTTGCCAATAAGGTGTTGTAAAAAAATTTACTGCCTTCGTTTCACTAATACAGGAAGTTTTAAAGTTTATTCAACTAGTGTATTTAGACCTAGCCCGTTTAGACGAGAATCAATCTAAAACAAAACTTAAATATAACAATATTAAAGTTGAATTTAAATCGGCTGTAGCTAAAAGCATATGTATAATGTTAACATGTTTTTTGATTATTAGAATATTGGCAACATGTGGCTGAAGATTTGTCTGATAGTTGTTCCACGTCAATTATAATTGCAGCTGCCAATATAATACGCCAAATGAAATTATAAATAGTTAAACGCAAGGTTAATTGTTATGACCGTACTAAAATTCTATAGTAAACGCAGATATGTCTACGCATTTTATATTTTAAAATTTTAAGAACATTAAACTAGTAATTAGATGTAAGCATTCTCTCATACGATGTATTAAAATTAAGAAAATATTAGTGATATTTTAGTCTGCTAAAGTGAGACTTTAATATAGTTAGTTACTTTTAGATTTAAAGAGGTTAATATTAATTATTATCTATCTTCTATTTTAGAACAAACAAGCTGTAGTTACTTAATAATCACGACGCTATTGTTCCAACAACAATTTAGCCTAGAAACGCTAGAAAATTCTAATCGACAAGAAGTCCTTGTCACGGAAAACATGAATGCATGGCGTATTAGGTAAGGTTATGGTGCAGCGTCACCTCGGTAAGATTCTCGTATACGAGTATAATTGGTCACTATTATAGACAGAAATAGACCATTTCTACTTACAAATGTCCGAAGTAATTTTGTACGCATTAATGACTGAAACACTTCAGTGATGTACTTGCTTCAGTTACTCACCGACCTGTTTTTCTGTATTCACATGCTCCATATTCAACCTTTTTATGACGTCTATTTCCTGAGATACGACGATTTCTTTTTTAATTCTAAATAATCCCACCGTTCCAAGCTTCAGACTTCGTAGAAATATTGCTATGTATAATAAAGTTCCACAAAATGTTATTGAGTTCGAAAGTAAATTTAAATGTCATGTCAAAAATATACTTATGACGATACTGATGAGTAAAGTCTATTTTAAAGTTTTTGATAATTTTGTAACCGTAATGTATTGACTTTATAATAGCCTACCTTTACGTTGGCTGAACAACATTATTGTTATTTATTTTTTTTACTAATTAATAAATGGATGCCGAAGTGTCAGTACCCCCCAACTGAAATTTTATAACGGTTTTTTTAAAACTTTAACGTGAAAAAGAAAATTGTTTCGAAAATAGTTTACAGATATGTGCACTTCGCCGTCGACATATTAATTTGGTAATGACACGTTCTATTTCTAATATTTTCTTCCGTTAAAAGCTAATTTTAAGCTAACGATGGCTTGAACGGGTGTTGGAAAAATATTTTGGACACTTCAAAAGTACTTGCAAAAAACTTATTTTAATAATAAAACAGTGTGATTTCATTAAAAAGTTTTAAGTTATTCTTTTCTCTTGACATATGTATTATTTCTATTGTCAGTTGATAGTGAGTTCTTCAAAATGCTGAATTAACACGTACCCCATAAATATTTAATGTTAAACTTAATAGTTTTCCAATTAATTTATAATAGTGTCTTACACTCTGATATCATTAACGTTACGCAGCCAAAATAGATATGATTAATAAACCCAACTATGTCTCTTAAGCACATTTCAAAGTACACCTCTATTTGTACTTGCTTCCAAGTGATTCTCGAGCTTTAAAAGTTTCAACATAGAGTATACGATATCGATCAAAGTTGTGTGTCGTAAAACACCCAGCGTTGTACCGTCGCCCGATTAAATTACAGAAAAGTTACGTTTATTTCGGTGGTAAACGTACCGTTCCGGCGCCACCCCTGACAGTGGTTTATCGTGAAAAGTGTCAGCCATGTTTTTTACAACGAGCAAACAAAAGCAAACTTTCACCTTTCCAAACGCTTTTCGACAATGAAAATATTTTACAACGATACACGCCTTTTGTCCACTACAAGCTACGAGTACATATAACAGCGTCTCCTTTTTGTTTCGAAAATGTAAATCGATCTTCAAAGTGACCTTTTGTACATTCATTTTACATTGAGTTTGTGCAACTAAGCGATATCAATTTATGATTCTGATTCAATTATATATTGCGTAACGATACAATGCCCTTCGAAAATTGTTTAACTTTCGTGAACATAGACAAAGCGCGTTTGGTCTGAGTTTATTATATCTCGTCTTGATTATATCGCAATGAAAAGGTGCTGTGAGTGAGTGCGACGGTGAGCTTGTCTATTAATTGGAAGTTTACCTATCCCATATTCTCATAGTTGACTTCGCAAATTTTCCGAGATGCTAAGATAAGCAGAAACAGATAACGCCTGGCCGAATCGCGAAACGAGTCGTGCATTCATAGTCAGATCTATTATCAAGTATTCTACCAAATTGTAACAGTTGAAACTATTAAACGTATTCGAATAAATGGCGAAACCGACGCTCGCTTCGACTGTAAATAGGAAGTTAAAGTAAATCTGCAATTATAATGTTTTTGACTGTAATTAAAATATGTGAAAGGTCAGTTAAATTTGAAGAAAGAACGTAGAATCAACACGTGATTCAAGTTTGCGAAGAACGTGGCGAAATTGCATTTTGCAGATAAAAGGTAAACAACTACTTGAACAATGTGATGTTAAGAAGTGATCCAATTCAAAAGATACATTTTAGGAAACTGTTGACATCTGTTATAATAAACAATACAATTATTAACAACACTCGATGATAGCAATGAACAATGACAGAAATCTTGAATAATTAAAATGATGAGTGATAAATCCTGTGAAATACATACAGCATTTAAATCCGGAACTCCTTTTTTCTAACTACTATTCTAAAATATAAAACTGGCTTCTAAATATTGACAAAAATATTCATAAAGAAATGCAATTAATATGGACTTACCTTTATTTGATAGGAGTTAACTTTATGCTTCGGCAGAAAATTGAAGGTAGAAAAGTCCAGTCTTCGAGAGAATATCCCATTTGCTCCGGCACCAGCCCTATAACAAAAATAACATAAGATATAAAGATCGTATACGGCCAAACTTGTCTTAAAAATGAATAATTACTTCTCATTAATAGATACCATCCCATACTACACACTCTTATCCAAGTATATCCGTACAAATTCTACATGTTATAGATTAAATAAAATACCAAATGTCTAGCGATGATATAAACTGAAACGATGAATAAGTGTTTATACAAAAACATTTGCTCTTTTATGTCGTCGCCATAAAATGACACAATAATCGTAAGATCAGAATCGCAATCCTTTTTATACAGTCATTTATAAACATAACGTATCAGATAAATAATATTTTATTTAAGTAGGTAGCGGTAAAAAACCGGCAACTAATTATTACATACATTCAATATCAAGTAGCCGCTTCAACAATACAATACAGTACCAAAAAACAGTTTAAGTTGATAAGTAATTTGTTGTGTTTTTTATGCAGTTATTTATTTGGGGACAGTACTTGCTTTTCATAATAGTAGAACTTAGTAGAACAATCTACAATTATAAGTAAAAATAATATGCTATAAACCTGTTTCTGTGAGCCCGTTGGTCAGGCATAAACTTAAAAAAAGCCGAAGTTAGTTAAATGCTATTTTAGCTTAATTTTGGTACGCCCCATAATGAAGACCTTTTTGAGCAATGTAAGTGGAAATATTATTATATCCACACAACCTGTTTTTGTCAACATAATCCGATTTCCTCCATCACAATTACAATCACTAGCACCGATCTATATAATGCTAAACCGGTATGTTTAGGTAAATCTAAGCCGCACTCGGAGCTGCGTCGTTGCGTTTTTATGCGGGTGTCCCGCTCAATGCAAAATTGTGTTCAAGGTGAAGCATAAAAACTTGTTTTTTTTTCACTGCCAAGGCCACCCGAATTAGATACCGCCGTATATCGCTGTATTATGTCAACATAGCGTTGTTTACATTGGGCGGACGATAAAAACTCGAGATTATATTGTTAGCGAGCGTTTTGTGTCGGCGGATGCGATTACGTTTTAAATAAAAATATATTGTCACGTACACACAGTCTTTTTTTGTTTTTTTTTACAGTGCGTTATTGCATTGATAATAGTGAGTTAGTTATGTACGTAATTTACGAGTGTAGTGAAACGCAAATTAGTTAAAACATTGGATTTAGCTTTAGTATGTTTTTCTTGGGCTAATATAAAAATAACAATAAAATAAAAAGTCATGAATTATTTTTTTACTGTTATTAGCAGATCAATAGAATTTTTTAAATACAAATTTTATTACATCTACCTTAGATTACATGTCTGTGGTAAAATATGAATTAATAATGAAAAATCCTAAAAACATACACTTAGTCCCTGGTACTCTGAGATAGGTCGTGGATTCACATCTCAGAGTACCAGGGACAAAGTGGATTTTTAAAGCATTTTTCATTAATAATATTTTCCAGTATGCCATTGGGAAACTGATCAAATACAATTACTATATTAAATCAATTTTGCATTCATAAAGCCATATTAATATTTATCTTAAAGAAATTGTCTGAACAATGATGAGAATGAATTGTAGCGAAAATTACAAGAGGTTGATAAAAAATCACGTCTCGGATAGCTCAGCTCAATGATAAATAAGATCACTCGCCCGCATGGCGAAAGGTTTGAATCCCATCTAAGACACATGTGATTTTTCTTGGGATAAATGTAAGTAGGTAAATTCCTCAATCAAAAGCATGTAGGTATGTACGTATTATTAAAATTCAGGTTCTAAAAACGTAATGTTAACAAATTAGGTCAACCCGTGCGAAGTAAGGATAAGCTCGCTGTTTTTTTAGCGCCTATGAAGTTCATTTTCGCTTGCAACGGAAGTGCTCGACTTAATGGGTAACCTTGGACGCACAATGGTTAACTTTGAATTCGGCATCAACAAAAAAAGTCGACATGCGCTGCTCCAATTACATGACATAATAGCCCCCTTTGTTATTGTAAGTTACACGCGCTGCGTTAATCGTACCTATTTATGGAAATTTAATTATGTAAACAAAGTGCCGATAAACGCGAAAAAATACTTTTGTTGCCATATTGATGTGACAGACGAGATTAAGAGCGACGGTGCAACGGAAATGTAAGACGGTAATTCAAGATTCGCTTTAAGCATTCAAATATTGAGGAAGCTTGAAGTGGTCAACGGTTAGCGATTGTGAATGTTAAGCAACTTCTACAGATGCGGGTCTTCGGATAGGTGACCAAAAATTTACGAGAATATCCATATCCATAGGACTATTAGATCTGTCTGTAATTGAAAACACATGAAAATGGAGAAAGCTGATGGTGATACATTTTTCCAATAGATAAAAATTTTCATCCAAAATTTCAACCCTTTGCTTTCGTTGCTGCCCTTAAAAATCCGCTTAAGAGAAAACACAATTTTTCAAGAAGTACTAAATATTTCTCAATTTATTTTATAAACGAAATTATTAACGGCAAAAGAACAGGTGAAATCTTATGAAATATGGAGAAAAAAGGCTTCACATCCTTTTTAAATTTAAAATCAAACAAATGAAATTAGATTAAAAGAACTCATAAGATCATATTGGCGATTTTACACGCGCAACGGGATACGTTATAGTTATTATAAAATGTCTGTTTACAGGACAAAATTTGCGAGTAGATAGATATAAATATGGCGAATGCAATATGGCGGTCTTGGCCTTGGCAGCTGAATAAAAATAACGATGTTTGTGCCGAGTCCATTTCATATCGGCGCTGCGGGCGCTATTGGGCGTGTGCATTAGCGCCATTTTGAAACTTTGTGCATTCAAACAAAACACAATATCACACGTAACGAATACTAAATAGATATTTAATAGTAATGTAATGTTTTCGCATATCATTAGAGTTGGTGTTTCGGCATGGAAAAAAATAGATTCTATTTTTACATTTCAATACAGAGGTGGGCAGAACTAAGAGTATATTAATATTAAATACCTTTTTAACCGGAGTATTTTAGGATATAGAGGAAATACTCATATAATAAAATTCACAAAGTTACGCCATTTTTTTTTTCTTTTATTTTTTGTTGTTTTACAATAACAAGAACCGTTTTTGCTCGCAATTTGGCATTCTGTCCATTGTAGCTTGACGCTCTTCAACCAAATAGTTCACTAGTTAGGTATAATGATAAAAGGATTTTTTTAAACACCAAATAATAATAAATGTGAGTCTAAAATGACCAAAGGTACATTTGATATAATCAATCAAAATAAAATGTTTTTAAACACCACATTCTTTTATCTAATGAAAATTGTACACGAATGTAATTTGAATTCCAAAGAACAATAATATAATTATTGTTCTTCTGAATTATACCATTACAAAATAGTTGGTAGTTTGACGGCATTGAAGATCTTACAAAATAAGATGTATTGCAATAATGTGTTGTTAGTTCAGTCTACATATTGTATAAACGTACACATCTTTAGGACAATTCCAGACTGGTTCGCTGTTTATAAAGACTTGTTATTTCAAACATTTGCCTATAGCAAACATCGCGGGAGGTCGCACGAACTATCAAAAATACTCATCACATATATTTTATCATAAAAGATTTATAAATAACATTTAACAATTATTCGGCATCAAGGATTAAAGCGTAAAAATAACAAATAATTTGGAATATTCCATTGTGATCGTTTGCGTCTTTAGTAAGGTCGATTGATCAAGGGCAAAACAACGTAAATGAAAACTTAAAATGTTTTTATGAATTTAGTTTTACTTTAGAAAACTATTTATTACAGAAGCCGTTCGGCTGGTTAGGAGAACTGAACTATTGTGATTTGAAAGTAGACACCGTTCAGTTCGACCGGTTTTGACTTTCTCATTCATGAGCTTTCGGCCCACGGTAACCGGATCGGCCCTCCTTCGAATGTGAAGATTAAACGTAATATAAGTTGCCGGCTGAGCTGGTTTAAGGAAAGGTGCGGTGAATTCGCGCATCTGCTCTGAACATTTTCGCTGTGAATAATGTAATGCAGGATCATGATTATGTGCTACGAGTGCCTTGAAAATTGAGTATATTTTACCTTCTTTTTCTATGCCAACGAAGACAAAAACAATATTCACGGCAAATAAAAATTCATTCATTCAATGCTTAATGTAAGAAATATTCTAACGAATTTTATATAAGACGATTTAGCAGTTTTAAAAAGAACTTAACAATATGCCAAACCCATTTTTTCTTCATTATCTTAATGGTAAACCAAGCACGTGAATACGTGTGGGTCCATTTCCATAATATACGAGCGAGAACTCCTTTAGTCACGTCGATATATGGAGAAATATATCAATAATGTCCTCTGTCCGATCAGTATATAGTCACCTATGACCACAAACTGCGTTAAATAGGGAAGTATCCTCAATTTTTTTGTAACCGCGAGAAAGCCTTGGGACCCATATATTAGAACAATTAACGCGTGCGGCGGCGTACGCTCTAAAGGAAACAGACGCATAAAAACAAAGGCACATCAAGGTGCCTCCGTCGCGTCATTGCTATCGTCTTATTGTGAACGTGCTTCGAAATTTCTTAAGAGAGCTTACATAATCGGCAACAAAGTTTGTAGGCAAAACACGCCTCTAAAGCTGTTTCAGAGGAACAACTCATCGTGCTGCATTAGCTAATAATATTCGAAGGATATCTTACTTTGTTGTCCTTTTTTCTTGCTATGTTACTTGGCTATCAGTTTTTGCGATTTATATATATATAAGATTTAAAAGTATAAAAAGATGCATTCGTATATGATTTCGTTAAGCTAAAAATAAACAAAATGTGTATCCGTTAGCGTGTGTAATGTGTTCGCTGGACTGCTAACAGGATTTCATTATTATGTTAAAGATATTTTAACATAGTTATATTATGTAAATTATATTATTAAAATTTAAATATTTAGTTAGCCGAGATCCAAAATTGGTGTCATTGAATTTTACATCCAGCGATCATTTCAAATAAG